TCGAAATAAAATGTCCTGGTTCTAATGTGATACATAACACACCAATTTTAGTTTCAGGCATATTCTGCCTTAAATTTGACTGGCATCTGAATTTTCTTATCAATATTCTATGTAGTCAAGGTTAAAATGCAGTTTAAAGATATTACCACGTACAAAATCAAAAAAGGTAACAACACAGGTTGCGAATAGTAAACCGTTCGTGCAGTCTGGGTATTGACAAGAGTAAGCGTTGTGTCTGCACTCCATAAAAAATTAGATTCTGAAATTTTTATTTATTTATATTATTTACATAATATATTTTTTGAAACATTGATGTTTCTGGACAATCATATCGATCTGAAGAAAACATCGAAGGCAAATTATCGATGTAATAATATCGATTTTTCTGCTCGAAAATATCTTTGTTTAAAAACGAAGTTTTTTGTTTTTACAATCCCTAGCCGTGCCCCTCCTTGAAAAGTTTGAAACAGGCCCAGAAGTATTATGTAATACATTAGTCCCTAAATACGTATGTTCAACCCCTCAGTTTTCCTTTTTTAACCCGATACTTTGGGGGAATAGTTAAACAACACTTGGGGAAGAGGCTCTCCAATCAAGTAGAAATTCTTTAAATGATTCAACCTAAAATGAATTGTTTCATTGGTTTATCATTCAAGCTGCAATTCCGTTCTCATTGTAGCATTTTGATTATTTACCAGTAGAAAATGTAAATAAAATAATGAATGTAAATATAAAGAAAAAAATTCATAGAAGAGAGTCGTGAAATGCAGTGGCCCTCCGTCTTGTTTATGCTGCGCATTCCATGACTATCTTCAGACTACTTCCAACAATCTTCACTAGGTTTGATAACCTGCAATTGGGACACGTAATACGTTTTTATGGGACGCTATTTGGATTTCGTGACTAATGCTATTTAGTTTCTGTAATATCCTTCGGAGTTTCTTTCCTTTACTGTTAGTAAAACTACATACAACCGTGTGTGTACGCAAATTTAATTTTATTCTTCGAAAAGTAGTAAATACATTCTTATCCTTCCAAATAGCTAATTTATTCAATATTCCAGTTCAATTTATTCATGGTTTTCGATATCAAAGACGTTTTAAAAGGCAATTTTCACACCAAAAAGGGCCCAAATAACAGTTTAAAAGGGAGAGAATAATTAATAAAATGAATGTAGTTTGATAAGATATAGATGACGTTCAATATAACAAAAGAATAGAATACTGTAACGAATTTATGGCCAGAGGTAAATACGGATGTGTACAAGCTACAGAGTTACCACGGTATGGTGTTTTCAACTTCCACTCGAGCCGTTAAACCGCCAGGCAAGTGGGAGGATTGGTGACGGACAGGGGGCAACTCCACATCTCCCTTCATCATGACCTCTGTTACTAAAACACCATATCGTCAATTTGAGCTCAACTGAAAGAAAGTGAAGAAAATTGGTTCTAGGGTTGTAGAAACGCTGAAATTAAGAAAAAAAAATACTCAGCTGTTGTTTAGGGGAAAGCTTATTAGGGATCATTATTTTTTAACATTTACTTCATAAAAAATACTGATTTTCGTCATTTGTAAAGTCAAACTGAAATTCAGAACTGCGAAACTCGCACCGCCAAAGAATATCCCCCACCTCTCAGCTTCAAACTCTTAGTATAAGCATTACCAGTAACAAAATTTCGTTCATTTTATCACATTTGGGAATAAAGTTGTTATATGTGGGAATGGAAAAATGGAATATTGTTTCCATTTTTAGAGTGTAAGCTGTAGATTTTGGAATAGAAGGTGCAATACAATATGCAATATAATAATAATATAATAATGTGTAACCGGAGGTGAATTACGTAGCACCACACTGCAATCAATGTACATTACTCAAATTATTTTTAATGTATGGGTTGCACGATGAATCAATGAAGAATTTTTTTTTCAAAAACGAAATATTAATGATTTACCAAGCCAGTTCCTTTTCCTATGGATTTTCGAAATCCTTCTGCCAAGCTGGCGATGCAATAATGAAAATACTGATATACAAGGTGGAAATCGACAACTCGTTAAACAAAAACCAAATCTTCCATAGAACTTCCTAATATCTCACACCTTATATCTTAATAAATCGCAGTACTACCCATTGAGAAACATGCGTGGTCTAATACGCCGTGCGTCACATGACTTAAACGGTTTACCGGCCGGGTCTTGGCACAAATGTCGAACGCGCGCTGGCATTTTAAAGCGTGGTCGGGAGAGCCACCGCGTCGGCGGGGCCGTGGCTC